CATCAGGCACTGAGCATTTCACTGAGGACGGTCTACAACCAAACATCAAGCTGTTGGATCATTTTGAATCCATGTGAAAGGAGAAAACAAGTTGTAAGTTTGTCTTTAAAAACATTGCAAGTAGATATTTTATTAGGAGGGATTTCTGGAAAATACCTGTTTTTTTATGTTGGCTTTTTTCCTCTCTAGTGTCTATCTCTCAACAAAATAGATGGATGAAGTAAATTTGCAGTGGATTCAGTTTCTGCTTACTGTAATGGGTAAGATCTTATACATAGATTTTATTATTTAGATTTGATCTAAAATCATTGTAATTTGATTTTCCCTCATCAAATCATTGGATGTTAACACAATAAACATTTTATTCTCCTTAACATGAAGCTGATGATGTAATGTGATTTAAAACTTTATTTTGTTTTTAGCTCAGAATCATCTGATGGACTGTCAGCTCTATGAGTTTCACTACATTAGTGAGGAAAAGACCTGGACTGAAGCTCAGCAGTACTGCAGAAAGAAACACACTGACCTGGTCACAGTGATTAGTATGACAGACATGGAGAGACTCAATAGTAATTCACAAAGAGGCATAAAGGAAGCTTGGATTGGTCTCCGTGATGAAACAAACGCACAGAGATCATGGCACTGGTCTCTGCCTGGAGTGGAGTTCAATGAAAATGAGACAAACTGGGAAACAAAAGAACCAAATGATCTCCCACCTGGAGGCCAAAACTGTGGGATTATATGGAAAGATTCCCCTCATTTTCTCAAGTGGGGAGATTTATCCTGTAATGAAAAGCATAATTTTCTCTGCTATAGTGGTGAGAAAATAGTCCTTTGTTTTTGTCTAGATCCTCTCAATGATGTTTATTTCAAGACTTACATGTAAAAGTGTTTTGTGCTCTGATTTCTTTATTTCACAGAAAATGATTCATCACAGAGATACGACTTGATTTATGATTCAAAGAACTGGACAGAAGCTCAGAGTTACTGCAGAGAGAATCACACAGACCTGATCAGTGGATTGGAGCAGCTACAGGATGGAGAAGTGAACAAGGGGTTAAATTTAACGACTGCAAATTCAAGGTACATATTTATCGGTCTGTTTAGTGACACCTGGATGTGGTCAGATGGAAACAGTTCCTCCTTCAGACACTGGAATCTGAAGTTTAATAATCAGAAAATCAACAGTGGTCAATGTGCCATGACTGTGTTTGATGATGGAGGCAGATGGAAGAATGAGAACTGTGATGAAAGAAAACCCTTCATCTGTTATGATGGTGAGATGTCATTTTGTATTTGCATGTACATTACTGGACAAGAAGGAAGGACGTATGGATTTACAATAATAACCAGAATAAAACAACAGATTAGATGTTTTTCTTCCTTATTTCAACAGATAACATGATCCTGGTCAAAGAAAAGATGAACTGGGAGGACGCCTTGTACTACTGCAGAGATCACCACCATGACCTGGTCACCATCACCAACATGGATGATCAGATATGGATCCAGGAGAAAGTCAAGGAGGCATCGACTCCTTTTGTCTGGATGGGTCTGCGTTACACCTGCACTCTGGATTTCTGGTTCTGGGTCAGTGACGAGGTGGTCAGCTATAAGAACTGGGCTTTAGATGGACAGATGGACGACTGTGACATGTCAGGAGCCATGGAGACGGGAGGGAAATATAAGTGGTTTAAAAGAAATGATGCAGACATGTTTAACTTCATCTGTTCTAAACATCCACCAGGAGAATAAGTGTTGTATTATACAGCACTTATTCTCATATTCTTGTACATGTATGCTGATATATGTAGAAAAGGAAACGATTTCACATAGTAGGTTATGTTGTTTGGGTTTTGTTGTGTTTTACGTCATATGTACATGGTTTCCCCCAGAAAACGTTCTATGCACGGTGATCAGGGCGCTACGGCAGTCATTCATCCAGCCAACCACCGGTTTTTTAGTTAAAAAATGTTTAAAGTTGACAGGAAATTTTAAAATATAATTTGATAGCTATACATTTTTGGAAGACTGGAAGACTAATACCCAAACATCAACTAGAAATTCTTAAAAAAAAAAAATAACAATGCTAAGGCTGGTGGCGGCACAAGTAAAGCCTGGTGGCCCGCCAGGCTTATAATACACTGATGGAATCCCTGATGTATATGTGTCATGTAATTCTGTTTTCTCAAAGCACATATAACTGTTTTAAATTTAATATAATAATATCCATGTTTATATTCTCAAGCTATCCATATTGCTCACATGTTTAATTGATCACGATATTAAACTATTACATTACTGTATGTAAAAAAGCACAAAAAAGGAGACAATAAAGTAAAACAAAAATATCTACTGATTTATTTATTCATTCGATTTAAGATATATTTTTTCCTTCACCCCTGCTCACAATTTGAATTTCAACTGGTGGACATCAATTATAAGTTATTATTGTTGCATAAATGAGGTTACCACAAGGCTAACAGCAATAATATAATATATTAATAGATGCTTTTGAGAAATAACAATAAAAAAAATGTTAAACATTGGAGGGTTAAAATATTTGATCTAAATTCTCAGTAGATGTAACGATAGTGATGTGGTTTAATTTCCATTATGCAACATATCTGCTGATGCATTTTAAACACAAGGATAAACTATCACATTTGTTGAGGATATTCATATGGATGAAACTTATAAAAGTTCCAGTAAATATTCAGTTTTATATCATTTTTATTACATTTTTGCACACTTTTCTATAAAGCTCATAAAATTACCTCCACTGAAATTACACATTTTAAAAATTAAATTTTGAGTCTTTTACAAAACAAAGATGTTTTGACATCAACATGTGGAAGTTTTCCATTTGGGAATTTGATCTCAGTGTTTCTATATTCAAATGCTGCAGCTAAAAACAGGAACTCTGATGAGAGAAGGAAGCAGTTTGTACATCTGGATTCTCTGTAAGTCCAATGTTAGAAACTTTCACCAGGAAGAAAAAGCTAATTAGATAATGTAATTAGTTCTATTTATGAACAAACAAGGAAACTCTATGAAAACCTGAGCGGCTTTTGGAAATGTCCAGTGGGCGAATCAGGAAATTCTGTTTTGAGAACAAACAAACAAATATGAAAAACAGCAACCAAACAAGAAATGCTTCAAAACAGGAAATAACACAAAATAGAAAAATAACAAGCAATGGAGTTATTTAACAGTCTTGTAATCTTAAATTTTGAAATTCTAGGTAATAAGTTACAGATGGAGAGTGAAATGGTGAATTAAAATCTTCTGGTTATCTTAGAACAAGCTGAGTGAGCAGCAGAACCAGGAGGGAAAGCCAGACATGACTGTGGGTTATGTGTGGGTTGAACTGGGTTCAACCAGTTCAACCAGTTCAACCAGTTCAACCAGTTCATTTTGACTGTTAAGCTGAAGGGATGGATTGAAAGAACAGGGGGAGAATTTGTCTTGCCTTTCTTATTCAACGGAAATACTGCATTTGCAAAATTGTGTTTTGTCGACACTGTTTTAGGTATAACTTTTGATATTAGCAGAAGCTGGTGATGAAGCGGAGCGGCTCATCCACCTGGAGCTTAACTCTGTCAACACCTTCTTTGCTAAATAAATAAATATGCATTTAAACATCATTTTCACAGAAGCTAAAATAATTTTAGACACAGCAGGGCATGTTTTCACGAGGTTTGAATATTCAAATGTTGTTCCCGAGCTCACAAAGGTCATCGCTTGTCCAGGATGTACAAGTGGGGCAACGGTTAGGAGAGACCTTCATTTTAATGTAATACCAGGAAGAGATGTACATTTTTCACTCTGTTTTCACCATTTAATTAGCTGACATGTTTTCAGCTTTATTGTACAAACCTTATGGAGATTAAT